CTTTCCTTTCCTTTCCTTTCCTTTCCTTTCCTTTCCTTTCCTTTCCTTTCCTTTCCTTTCCTTTCCTTTCCTTTCCCTTTCCCTTTCTCCTTTCCTTTCCCTTTCCCTTTCCCTTTCCCTTTCCCTTTCCTTTTCCTTCCCTTCCCAAACCTTCCCTTCCCAAACCTTCCCTTCTTTCTCCTTTCCTTTCCTTCTCCTTCCCTTCTCCTTCTCCTTCTCCTCTCCTTTCTCTTCCCCTTTCCTTCCCTTTTCCTTTTTCCTTCCCTTCCCTTTCCCTTTCCTTTCCTATCTCTTTTCTTTGCTCCAACACAAACCAGAGCAGGGATGAGACACCCTCCCATCCCTGTTTTATCCTGCTGTCCAAAATGACCTGAGGGAGGGAATTGGCACAGGGATTCAAATGAAGTTTAGTGGAAAAACTGGGTTCATGTCGTGGTGATGGGCTATTAAATATATATATATAAAAATATAAATATATATATTAAAATGGAAACTGTTCAATGACTGTCTCTACCTTTAAAATCTACAGATTGAACTATTTTAATTATTTAAAGTGATGGGAGACACGTCCCTCCTTCCTCCTCCCAAATTCCATGGATGTGGCAGGAACCCCTCGAGATCCACCCTGGAAGAAACTCACCTTTCACCCCACCCAGGAGCCTTTAAATAAACACAAATCAATTAAAACAAATAAACAAAATCCATTTAAAAAAAAAGGAAACAAAAAAAAATTAACCAGATCATCTACTTTTTATTTCAGAGGAAAGATTTTGCATTATTTACTTTTATTTATATACAGGTACTTCACATTTGTATTTAAAATGCACAGACCTCCCAAGATTTTCCTCGTTCCGGCTTTTAAATTAGCTGTTATTTTACAATACAAAAAAATTATACCAAAAAACTGCAGTCCTAAATGTGTGTATGTATAACACCCAAGACCCCAGCAATGAAATAGTTTACAATACTTGCTCCTATTTACATATGAATGCAAGAAATGCTAAATTATACATATTAACAAACTAAGCCCGAGTCTGAACACACAGAAGAATCGTAAATAATTACAGGACAAAGAGGAGAGGGGGGGAAAAAAGAAAAAAAAGAAAATCCAGAATGCAATTAATTCGAGGGTCTGAAAGAACATTTATTGTGCACAAATTTCGGAGTAATATAAAACTCTTATTTTTATTTTCTCTTCTTTTTTTTCTATTTTTTTTTTAATTTTTTGTAAAAAAAATGGACTGACGTATGTTAATGCTCCTCCACAACTGTGATTTTTTTATTTATTTGTTGGTTTTTTTTTTCCTTCTTTCTCCTTGATGAGGGTTTGTGGAATCGGTGACAAACTGAGAGAGGGAACGGCCAAGGAATTGTAGTACCTGGAAGACGCACACAAACGGCCCCGGGGGTAGTGTCGGAACAAAGGGAACAAACTGAATAAAACCTGCCCTGATGCAGAAAAAAACCCAGCATATACACAAACTGTCGTAGTCCTGGCGTGGCAAACCCAGTTTCAGCAGCTCCCGACGGGAAAAGCGGGAATTCGACCAAAAATTGCCAAGAATGCTCCCAAAAATAAGACAGAGACCCCCCCTTCTTCCCGCAGCTCCTGAGGATCTTCCCAATAAACCCCTCACAACTCCCTCTCCCACCTGCTCCTGCAGCTCAGCCCTCCCCTTCCCTGTGGCATTCCCAAATGGATAAAATGGGAGAAGCAGAGGCATCCACTGCTGGCTGGGAGCGGGCGGATGAGGTTGGGAGTCGCTCCGGGAATGCAGAGTCCACTCTTTGCTCCCTCACCAGTGAGGCCCTGCTTCCAGGGAAAAGGCTCCTGGGATGCAGCTGATGCCCTAACTCAGGGGCTTGTGGGAAAGGCAAAGCAGCTGGAAAACACCTGGATGGAGAGTCGGCCTCGGCTCGGCGGCTCTGGAATTCCAGCAGGTCGTGGGAAAAGCCTAAAGTTCGATTTCAGCCCCAAAATTCAGCTCATTTAGGGCGGGACAAGCTGAGCTTCCATTGGAAACCATTCCATGATCCCGCTGACCCTGCACCTCGGGAACATTTACCACGGAGAAATAATGTTTCTGAGCAATACTTGGGACTTAAACTATCCCTAAGGAAGCAGCCAAAGGAGCTGCCACGTGTTAATGGCACCATCCCACTGAATTCTGGGACACTCCATGCCATGATTTCTGTTCAACAGCCTTATTTTGGCAACTTCAACCCAGCACTTTTTAAGCCCAGGGAGAGCGACAACAACTCCAAAGTTGTGTCTCACAAACCTTCTGGTACCCAAAATATCCACCCAGAGCCTGGTGGGGTCAGGCTGTGACAGCCCAGAGAAAATCCCGGGCTAAAACCCACGGAAAACGGGGAATTAAAAAGAAAAACAAGTCTGAGGTTTTTTGTTATTTGGAGACCCGGCAGAATAAAAGGGCTAAAACACTTCTGACCTTTTATTTTATTTTTTTTTTAAAAAAAAAGGCTCCTCTCAAAGAATTGAAAAGTTCTGAGGGTTGAGACATCAAATGCTGAATTTCAGCCGGTTCTAAACACCCGAAAACAGTGATTTTGGATGGAAAATAGTGATTTTTGGATGGGAATCACTGCCACAATCTTAATAACAGAGGCTTCAACTGCTGCCTTAATCCTCCACGTGGTGACTAAATTTAGGGACGTTTATTCCTTGTCTCCCAAGTGTTGGGTTTTCCCTCCTTTTTTCAGTGGGAAAAGCTGTTCTTTCCCTTGGTTTCTACACTGAAGTGAAATGCATTCGAACACAAAAAATCAAGTTATGCCTCCCTGCTTGGCGAGACACCACGAGATATAATCTGATGTTTCGAGCTCTGGAAAGTCACCTAACGCTGATCAGCCGAAGGAGTTATTAAGACAAAACTCAGACAGCACTTAAAAAGCATCAAAAATACATTCAATGGGGTTTTTTTCTGGTTTATGCACATTTTAAATCCCTCCACGTCCTGCAAGTTGCTGGAGATTTTACGTCCAAGTGCAAAATCCGGGTGTTGTTTGTCATTTATTTACAGATTCTCCCAGGAAATTCAGGTTGCTCTTTCCCCTCCCCACTTCACTTCCAAAGGAAATATTCCCACAAATCCTTCACTATATTGGCCTGGTGATAAACTACCAGAAATTCCCATTCCTTCCCACTTTTTTCCCTGTTTTACCTTCACGTTGGGATGAAACTGCAGCAGAGCTCTTGTATGAGTTCTCTTGTCCCTCATCGGTTTGGAGATCAGATGCAGAGCAGAGCCACATCCTAAAGGAGCTTTTATTTATACAAATAACCCTGCTATTTATATCACTAACTCTTGTCCCTCTACTGACTTTTTTTTTGTTGTTCTGCTAAACCTCAAAACTTTGATCACTTTTGCTCTTTTTGCCCAAAATCTTGACACCTCGTTTCGTGGCTTTGGAGACCTGACAATCCATCTCTCCAGGGGTGGGAAACCCTCCCCCCAGAAAATCAATGTTTATGTCTTTTTATGAATGTAAAAAAAAAAAAAAATCTATCACCCTTCCAGGGCCTCCAGTTCTGGGAGCTGTTTCTGCTCAGGAATAATCTCAGCAAGAAATTTAAGCCCCTCCTTAAGCTCTGTCCTGACTAGGGAGACTCAAGCCCAAGGGTTTTCTCCACGTGAGGTGGCAGTTTTCCTCCCAAAAAAAAAGGGTTGCAAGAGCAAGAAGAAGACATTTCCAAACATAAGGATGAGCATCGTGGCTGAAAACATGGAATAACAGGGGGGGATTTTAGTCCAGTCTTATTTCTCCAGTTCAGGTCAGTCCTATCACAGAGCAAGTTAGGAAGGAGATGAATCTGTATGAGGTAATCTGTGCATCAGATAAAACTTAAACTACCTAAATCCCTTCATCCTAAAACACAAAACTCACCCCTTTTCCACCCAGAATTCCTTTTTCTCAGAGGGCATTTAAACTTCTGGTTTAGAAACAGATGCATTTATATATATTTATATACATATTTATATATATTTATATATAAAATGCACTTTTTTTCCCTAATGTTTTTCTCCAGCCCCAACACCCTTTTGCAGTCCCACTGCACTTGTTAAATGACACATTAATTTGGAATTATCACCCACCAGGGTCCCCCAGACCACCAACCAGGCTGTTCCCATCACCTCTGCCAGCAACTCCACATCTTTGCTGTGACACTGCCACGCTCTGAAAAGCCTCTTCAAAATACATGGCTAGAAAAAAAAAGGAAAACAGCCCAAAAAATGAGTGGTTGATGTGACTGATCACCAAAATGTGCATTAAAAAAAAAGATGCAGTGCTTTGGGTTTCAGTTTGGAAAGTGCCACCTGACCAGAAGATCCAAGAGCAATTCCTGGGCGTTTAATAAATATTAGATGTTCTCCACACAATCCAGTGACTGGACCCAAAATTACTGTGACTGAGCCATAATTACACAGTTTGGTACCTTCACTAAGACCTTCCCACCAGCTCCAAAACACCACCACGTCCTGAGGCCCTGGCTGTGCCACATTCCAGACTCCAAGGAAACACTGGGCACCACCACCACGCACAGGCAAAAGGGTTAAGCCCAACCCTGAGCCCAACCTTGAGCCTCCAAACACAACCTCAACTCATCAAGCCCAGCCTTGAGCCTCCAAACACAACCTCAACTCACCAGAGCAGTTCAGATGGTTTGATGCCTCCCCAAAAAAGCCAAACCTTCTCTCTGCTGTTTGCAAAACCCTTTCCCCAACCAGCCACTTCTTCGACATCCACCAGAGCTCAAACACCAGCAGGTCTCGAACCTGTGGCCAAACCAACTTGCCCTGCTCGGTTTTTGTTTAAAGTTCTTTTTTTTAATTCATCCTCGAGCGCTCTGGGATGTGGAGTGTTGTTTTTTACACCCTGCAGGAGGTGGAGCAAACCCTGTAACCACCGAGGAGCGACGGCTCCCGGCTCAGCTCTCATCCAGGGCGGGAGAAGGGAAAGGGGAGGAGGAGGAGGAGGAAAGAGGCCAAAATCAGGAGGAATCTGATGGACCTGACCTGGAACACAAACTGCTGCTGGGAAAACGCTGGTGGAACCAGGAGTTTGCTCGTGAGACGCCGAAACTCTACTCGCCCTCCAGGTATTTCCACCTGGGTGAGCGGCTGGTCAGGCAGGAAAATGCCATTTTCCTGGGATAGAGAACACAGATTGCCTCGGGCGACTCTGGATGTTGAGTGTACAGATATTTCAAAGGAATTTAATGGTGTTCAAAAGCATGTGGAGCAGTCTCCTCACTCCCTAGATCTGTTCAAGTCTAGGCACTTGTGTGTGGTGGACTCCAAGCAGGTTAAGACTGTGTAAACACCGAGTCCTTCCAAAGCAACATCCGACTTTTTCCAGTTATTTCACGCGGTTCTGAGCGACATCAACCTTCAAACCATCCCAGCTTTTGCATTCCTGGACCGTGATGACTTAAAAAAATCAAACAAACAAACAAACAAACAAACAAAAAAGGCTGTGCCTGGAAGAGAGTTCCACTGAAAACGAGTAATGAAGGGAGGAATTAAACACTAAATGAAAACAAAGGATGAGGAGATGCTTTGAAGATTAATAGTAGTGTTTATGTGTTGAGAGCTGACACCTGTAAACACTGGATCTTTTTTTTTTTTTTCTCTTTTGTACAGTTTGATAAATACATGAACTACAAAGCACTTTCCATGTAGAAACCTGAGTGTCATTCATATTGGACTACTGTTCTATTTACACCCAGCAGGGACCGGCGGCACCGACCCCCTGCAATAAAATTATTTTACTTAGAACTCGAAGGAAAACAAAAAAAAAAAGGAGCAACCTGAAGCCACGTTGTCAGTAAAACTTAAGTGGAGCAGTTGTCAAATAAAGCCAACTAGAGCACGGAGATGAGAGAGAAAAAAGTCGGGATCAAGGAAGGTGTGGTTTCGTTTTTGTTTTGCTTGTTTTTTTTTTTCCCGAGTGCTTCGAGTCTCTTGGGACACAACTTGGAAATCTTCCTCCTCCTCCACCTCCACCTCCTCCTCCTCCTCGGTATTCCTTTTCCATTTTGTTTAAAACCCTAGAGAGTTTGTGATGTCCATGCATCAAATACAGGTTCCTGGCTGTGCAGGGGGCTGCTGTTTCCGATTTCGGACGGCGCCCGATTTCTCTTTGTAGGCAATTGGCATCTGTTGTGAAATGTCCACCAGAGCACTGGCCACGGCGAGACCTGGGGGACAGCAGAGCAAAGAGTCAGGGAACAAAATGGTCACAGCAGCAAATCCCACAGCCATGGCTGAGGAAAAGCCTCCAGGTCACAAAATACGTGGAATTTTCTGAGCAGAGCTGAAGAGTGTTTGGGCTGAAGAGATTAAACTCCAGCCAACGTTCTGGAATAAGGTGAAACAGGGAGCAAGTTGAGCAGGAAAAGCTGCAGGAAGTGTGGGGATTAATGGATGTGAAAGTCTTAATGTTGAAGGGTGAACCCTTAGTATTGAAGGTGTTTCTGCATCAGTAGATGGGTGACAATAAACCTGAAAGAACGTGGGCATAGAGGTTCCACTGCACTTCCCGGGGATCCATCACCTCTGCAACCTCCTCAGGGCAGGGCAGGGAATCATGGAATGGCTTGGGTTGGAAGGGACCTCAAAGACCACCCAGTTCCACTCCTTGCCATGGGCAGGGACACCTTCCACTAGCCCAGGTCGCTCCAAGCCTTTTCCAGCCTGGCCTTGGACACTTCCAGGGATGGGGCTTGGAGCAACCTGGTCTAGTGGAAAGTGTCCCTGCTCATGGCAGGGGGGTGGAATGAGATGAGCTTTAAGGTCCCTTCCAACCCAAACCATCCCATGATTCTATGACTTGACGTCTCCCTACAAACGGAGATGGGAATGAAGTGGAACAGGCCGGTGACAAGTTACTTTTCGTAAGGAACTACTGCTAAGCTGTCTGTACTAGATGGCCCTTTTCCCCCAGGCATTAATTAAAGTATAATCCAAATATCAAATGTTCATCCACCACCTGACCCAAGGAATTGCCTCAAAGCTCAGCTCAGAAGCCACCAGGGCCCAACCCAGGGAGCCTAAAACACCCCAGGGTGTGGGAACAGCAGCTCTGTGGGATCAGGAAAGGTGAATCTCCAAGGCTGGGGAAGGAGTATGGAGTTAATACCAAGCCATGAGAGACAAGGATAACCCTCACCTGACTGTCCTGGTGGTGGAATTCCCCCAAGTCCTCGAGGCAACCTCACGAAGACGGAGAGAACGGCCGCTTTGTTCCCAAAGCAGGGCTCCAGCGCGATGGGCTTTGGTACCGTCTGCAGGGGGGGAAAAGGGGGACAAAACAACTGTCAAACAGCCTGTTCCACCCTCCCTCCTCCCCCAGCCTTGCCTTGCCCAGCTCCTGCAAGCTCCAGGGCATGAACCATGTCGCTGTGCCTGGCAGGTTTCCAGCACAGAGCCAGCAAAGCTAAAAACCGGTGTCAGCAACAATCAAACCCGAGCCCTCGCAAAGAAACGCCGGCACTTCATAAAAATCAGGCTGTTACAGAGCCAGGGACTACACAGGGCTGGTATTTCTCCCTAAATTCAATCACAGAGGAGCAGCTCATGTTAAACAAAAGGGCTGGGTTTGCTTTTCCTTCAAACCCACCGGCAGAGCACCCACAGCATCGACACATCCGACCACGGGGACCGGGTTCGACTTCTCTTTCCAGAGTTTAACTCCAGGTTTCACCCCCACAACGCTCTGTGCATGAGCACAGCGAAGAACATTCCCCCAAGAACAAAAAGAAGCATCCAAGGCCAGGTTGGATGGGACCCTGAGCAACCTGGGAGAGTGGAAGGTGTTGGAACTGGGTGGCCATTAAGGTCCCTTCCACCCCAAACCATTCCACGACTCCGTGATGTGATTCCCCCAAAACATTCTCTCTTTCTCAGTTGTTTGCTTTGTGTTCCCTCAATTCTGTCTTTTGGTTCTGTTCTTTCTGGAGGGGTCATGCTCATTCTCCAGTGGCCTTCTAGACCCCTCTGGACTGTGTTCTCAGCCTCCTGGTTGCTCTGAGAGCTGGAAGACCTTTAGGAATTCCATGGGATTGTACTGTCCTTTTTGAAACAGAAAAGCAGAGGATTCAGCAGAGCAGAGGATCCCATGATCCTGGCTCTGGATCCAGTTCCAGTGGCCTAAGATGGAGGACTCTTTAACATGCTTTACTGGAGCCTCTTTACTTAGAATAAGAGTATTTTACACTTATATTGCAAATATGGTCATGAAATGAAGTTTTCAGGTAAAGCATGAATTGGTAACTCCAACAGAGCTGCACAGGGACTGTGGATAAGGGATGGAGGGACAGGACATAGGGAATGGCTTCCCACTGCCAGGGTTAGATGGGATATTGGGAAGGAATTGTTGGCTGGGAGGGTGGGGAGACCCTGGCCCAGGTTGCCCAGAGAAGCTGTGGCTGCCCCTGGATCCCTGGAAGTGTCCAAGGCCAGGTTGGAGTAACCTGGGCTAGTGGAAGGTGTCCCTGCCCATGGCAGGGGGTTGGAACTGGATGATTTTAAGGTCCCTTCCAACCCAAAGGAGGTCTCTTCTCCAAAAAGAGGAGGTTGCAAGAGTACACAATGAGTACAGGTACAAAAGAATGAGTTCTTTTGTTCCCCAACAAAGCAAAAACAAAGCTGAGAAACATTACTTTACATGACACACTCAGTGCTTTCTGCTTTCTTGTTCAGTATGGACAAGTTCTACCCTGGTATTAATGAAATAATTATTGCTTTTTCCATCAGGCATCAAACTGCAGCGCTGCACTCGAACGTTCAACAGAAACTCAATACAGCACAAGGCACTGAAAGAGCCTGAACAGGAGTCAAACAACGCTGTTAAATTACTGCTGCTCAATAAAAAAGACAAAGGGAGACGACAGCCAGCAAAATGAAACTCAAAGCTGTTTCCATATCTCCCGTTCCCTGCGATGATTGCGGCGGGATTTCGCTGCTCTGTGCGAGGCAGATAAACACGTGTTCCACGGGGCTGGAGGATGGCAGCTGCTGTTCCTGCCTGGGCTGTGACAGCAGATTTCTTCATCTCCCCACCCCCAGAGAAGGAACAAACTCGGGATGAAGCTTTTCCCCCCCTCCCAAGCACATCCTGGTGCTGTGTCCCAAAATTAGTGGAGGGAACGGAGAGAGCTCGGAGAAGGAACTGCAGGGATGCAGCCCACGAGTATCTGGGAGCAAGAACCGAGCACAGAGTGGATTTTCTGCTGGGCAGAGTCAAGGATCTCACTGTTGATAAAAGAGATCTGCTGAATTCCAGAGGTTGGAGGGTCCTGCTTGGGGCTCTCACCTCACCCTCAGTGCTGAGCAGGGTGGGAAGCAAAGACCAGGCCAGGGAAGTGATTGGGGGGAAGAGAAGGATGAAGAAGAAAGTAAAAAGGAAGAGATTGTCCTTTCTAATGCTTTTAAATGCATTTGGGTTTGACTCCTAATGGATTAATGGCCACAGAGATGCTCCAAGGGCTGGAGCCCCTCTGCTCTGGAGCCAGGCTGGGAGAGCTGGGGGGGTTCCCCTGGAGAAGAGAAGGCTCCAGGGAGAGCTGAGAGCCCCTGGCAGGGCCTAAAGGGGCTCCAGGAGAGCTGGAGAGGGACTGGGGACAAGGGATGGAGGGACAGGACACAGGGAATGGCTTCTCAGTGCCAGAGGGCAGGGATAGATGGGATAGTGGGAAGGAATTGCTGTCTGTGAGGGTGAAACCCTGTCCCTGGTTGGGCAGAGAAGCTGTGGCTGCTCCTGGATCCCTGGAAGTGTCCAAGGCCAGGCTGGAGCAACAAAGTGGAAGACTGGAATGAGAAGACCTCTGAAGTCCTTTCCAATCCCTGAGGATGCTCAGCCTCACACTCCTCATCCTCCAGCCAACTCACAGAAACAGGAGGCTGGAAAATCCATCCCACAGTCACCAAATCCAGCCCTTCACTAATGTAGGCACAGAAAAGGCCAACCCTCAGCTTTAAAAGGAGTTACACTTTCACCCTGTGCTCCCACCTCTAGGAGACCTTTCCAGAGGCTCCCTGCTCCTGGATCTTGTGGTTCTGCCACCAGAAACTTTCTTTTAACCTCCAGTCCTCAATTTATTCATCCCTCTGACATTCCTCTGTGCCTTAACCCGCTCCCTGGCCTTTCCCCAGCTGTACATCTCGGCCTTCTTTGGGCTCAGCTGATTGAGCAACACCTTGAATTCCTTCTCTGAACACAAGCACTGCCTCCTCCACCAGCCCAGGTTGCTCCAAGCCCTGTCCAACCTGGCCTTGGACACTTCCAGGGATCCAGGGGCAGCCACAGCTTCTCTGCCCAACCTGGGCCAGGGCCTCCCCACCCTCACAGCCAGGAATTCCTTCCCAATATCCCACCTACCCCTGCCCTCTGGCAGTGGGAAGCCATTCCCCCTTTTCCTGTCCCTCCATCCCCTGTAAATAGTCTCTCTCCCTCTTTCTTGTCGTCTCCTTCAGGTCCTGGAAAGCCACAATTAGGTCACCCCGGAGCCTCTTCCTTTCCAGGCTGAACATTCCCAAAACAGCTGAGGGTTAGTAAAAAAAAATGTTAATATTTTTGCACGGGGAATTTTATTTCTCTCAACCACAGCAAGGATTATGATGCACCCAAAACCTGTCAGGCAGTTGCAAACTAATTTGGAGGGAATTAAGCCCAGCATCCTTTTGCTGCAGCTGATCTCGATCTTAAAACTGAAAAGGGAGGGGGGGAAAACCAGCCCTATTTTCCATCAAATCCAGGCTTTTCCAGAGACAACGAAGCATGACAACAAAAACCAGCCTGAAGAATCAAACCCTGTACATTTATTTTTGACAGTTCAGGCACCTGCTTTTTGAACTGTGACTCATTTGTGCATCTCATCTCCGAGCTGTGCTCGCCCGGCCGGGAGACAAAGCGCAGCCGCTGGAATGACTCTGGAATGACTCACGCAGGAGTGACGGGAATGAGGAATTGGATGCAAGGAGGAGGTCAGCTGGGAGTGAAGGGCAAGCTGTGCCCTCTGTGAGACAGAGAAGCCCGAGGACTGGGGCCTGCAGTCCTCACTGACACAGGGAGGGAATCCCGCAGGGTTTCGGGGTGCTCTGGATTGTGGATCTCACAATCCTGGTCCTGCCCCTGCTGTGCTTGGATGGGACCTCTGGAGGTGCCACCACGGCACAGAGGGGCTGAGGAAAGGCTGGGTGGCTTCATCAAGTGGAATTTTGGTGGGGAGACCTCAGAAGAGCTCAAGTGTCCCTTCTTTCCCCAGCCCTGAGTGCTCTTGACACAGAATCACGGAATATCCTGAGCTGGAGGGACCCACAAGGATCATCCAATCCAACTCCTGACCCTGCCCAGACACCCCAACAATCCCACCACATCCAAACCCTCCTGGAGCTCTGGCAGCCTTGGGGCTGTGCCCACT